GAAAAAATGTCAACCACTTAGATCTGAAATAAACTGGAAATGTTATGTTAAAATGCAATATGTATTTCTTATAAAGCTTGAACCATGTATAATGATGAGCCAGTTGTCATTTATTTACCTGTTAATAGGGTATTGCATAACTTCTGTTGCAACATAGGAGTTTTTCTTTTTCTGAAACAAATTAGAAATATGGTTTCAGCATAATGTGTATCTCTCCTCCCAGGAGTATAAATGGGTGAGGTGAAACTGACTGGCAAACCTGACAAAATGTTGTAGGATGATCTAATCCCTTCACACTACAGAAACTGGGCATGAGCTACAGCCATTTAGCCACTTGGATAGATTACTTACTTTACCTCTACTGTTAAATTTTCTCCACATTTGTGTCGTGCATTAAAAATGTCTGCAAATTGGCACAAGGGTGCTAGACCAAAAGTCTAACAAGATCTAACCTTAGCCAACATCCATCTCCATCTGAGTTTTATTACAAACTAGTCCACAATGAAAATATTTTACATTGAATTGGGTGGAAAAACTTTTAGAGTGAACTTCAAGTGACAATCTAGGCTATGAATCCTTTTTAGTCTAGAAAACACTTCTGGAGTGTCTTAAAAATGTTGCAGCAATTTTTGACAAAGAAATCTTCCAGTCATGTGTATGGAACAATGCAACAGTATTTTTCTAAGTTTGACCTGCAGTCAACATCTTTTAAGCCCAAAACAACAGGAAGCCGCTAGACATCTAAATATAGGTCAGCCAGTTAAGAAAAACTGTTGCAAAATATGCATGGCAAAAAAAAAGTTTACATGTTGTGTGATCCAGCTGCGCTTGCCTTCCTCCCTTCGAACAACTTTAATTCCACTCACAGCAACAGAGAGTTCTGTCCTTTCCTTCTTGGTACCATAGACTTTGTATTCATACTGGAAAATACATCATTAAGAAATCAGACAAAAATTCTGCTACAGCAACACATTTTTAAGAGAAACATGCTGGGTAAAGAAAAATATTTAATTTACTAATAGGACCTTCAAAATTTTTGGCTTAAAATGTCATTGTTAACCATTAAAGAATTATGTCTACTGCAAAAAGGAATAAACTGATAATGTCAAACATTCTAATTAATTAATTTTTTGATACTGTGAAACTTAAATCACATTTTTTTAAATTAAATATTTGGAGTTCATTGAGACATTTTTGGCGATGAAAACCTGAAGGGGCAGTGTCAAGGGCTAATTTAGCCTCGGGTGAGAATTGCGTATTCCTGAGACTTCTTTATTAGATTCAATTTAATTTCGTCATAATAAATCGATTACAGAATCTGCATCGGATAAGACCGCCTTAAACAACATCATCATAAAAGACAGCCTACTGAACACAATATTTTGGGAATACGTGCAAATAATTTTTAAAATAGTATCAAACGATATCATACAAAACTTATAAGTTTTGCCTCTTTACCCGTATTCGTCGCATAGCAGTGACTATTTCAGCTCTGCTGCTAGGTTTATGAATTTCTTTCGTCCCAATATACTGCGAGAAAGATTAAAAGAAGACAAATATGTATTATTCACACCTTCAACACAGTTCTCAAGCGTAAACAACTGTTTTATCACGAGCCAATTTATAATTGCCGCAATTGAACGAAATAATGTCAGGTAACATTCAAATGCTACCGGAAAACAATTTAAGAACCTTAAGAAAACTCTTTTTAGATGATTTCCTCGAGTGACAAGTATTTCATTGGTTACGTGTTTAGATAAATTAAAAAATGCAAAAGCTGCACCACCTTAACTTTGAAGGCAATTCCATGTTCGAACGCGTCTTCGTTGTGCACTGGGGACTTACTATCATAGGCTTCTTCGACGAGGTCGTAATCATGTCTTCGCAATTTACCTGGCATTATTGGTAAAAACTGATTTATCAAATATTCGTCATTCTATTCATGAGCGACCACAAATCTAAGAACACCACTCTACTGCAATAATAAGGTATACACAACGACAACATTAACGCTCGAATGCATATGATGAGATTCTTCAGCGTTCGTAAAATGTTCGGAACAAAGCGTCGTCGTCCGGAAAATCCCGAGGTGCAAGGACGTGTCGGATCGCGGAAATTTTCCGCAGTTTAAGGAAATAATTTGAAAATTTAGAAAAGAATTCCAGAAAGCTCTACCCGGTTGTCATCCAAATTTCAAGTGTTTTTCTAGAAAAGTAATGAATTTACCTAGAGAGGGCATGCTGCGAATCTCCTCGTAGGCTCTCGTCTCAAATATCACAGAAACCTACACGATTACTATTCATGAGACTTAAATGATCTATCAACAAATAGTCTCTTTGCTCATAGGCCATCGTTCGGAGCACGAGTGAAAAAGGCACCGCTCAAGATCAGCTAAAGAAAACTACTACGTACAAAATAAGATTCCAAAAATGAAGAACATAGCATTCTGCTCAGACGCAACCGTAAATACTTGCAAAGCTCATCATATAAAGAAAAGATAATTATGATTTAAGATTCAGTCTTTCGGGGCCATTGGCGTGGGAGTTTTTGGAGGTCTTTTCTCCGGGTTATTGATGTAATCGCTTATTTATGGAGCTTAATTCTATTTTTGTCAAGTAAATGACGACAGTGGTGGACTTCAGGTATTGCACCAGCAGAGGCAGAGAAGATAGGCAAGTTCTTCGGAGAGACTTTTGTCTTATGCATGACGTGAACTCAAGTCATCATTATCACATCCGACATTTGTCTTCATTCTTGACTTGATTTTTTTTTAAACTACCATTTCAGTTCCTCATTCAGTTAGATGCAAAGTCATTCATTCTGATCTATTTCAATTATCATTTCGGTCCTTCATTCAGTTAAAGGCAAAGTCATTCATTCTGATTTGTTTTAATTATCATGTCAGTTATTTACTTAGGTGGATGCGAAGTCAATGATAACATCTGTTCGCTCACCCCTTGAATCTGGGTTTGCGTTTTTGTTTTAGGCTTACTACATGCATGGCTAACACTATGCTAGCACTTTCATACGAGTGTTTAAAATTAGATCAAGGCGTAAAAGCTGGAAACGCCCATAATAATTATATGAAGCTTGATTTGTTTTGTTCATTTTATAGACTGCATGCTAAGCACAGAATAGATATGATGATGAATTTCCTTCTCAGCACATAGTTCGCCTGGTGAATCAAGTTTAGGTTTCTCCCGATTATAATTTGATCGCTTTTGCCCATAAATATGAAAAGATAAGTCGGGTTTACTTGAAGCTCTATCGAGACCTGTTTCGAACCGGCCGATCTGGTTTCAACGCAAGACTCGTTGATTTAGTGGTACCTGTGCAAAACAGAGAATTTGAAGGACCACAGAACAAACAACTTTTTTTCTAACCTCCTTTTTATCTCAAATTGTAATATACATAAAAAAATGTCACACTTAGAGAGCATTCAAAATCTGTTCGCAACAACACAAAACGCAAACAGAAAAGATGTGATTTTTTAGCGCTGTTCAATCAATTTCATCTGAGTAAAAAAAACAATGTTCCCTAGAGCTCAAAATATTTTCTTGACCTACCCACGCTTCAATGACCATTCCTTAAATATCACAGAAACACCTCGAAACAGTGCGCTCCTTGAATATCATCAATTATTAATTCACCGATGGATTTTATTCTTGTCTTTAAAGCCACGCTTCTTTTTAATTCGTTCTCGGAACCATTCATTGACAAAATAAAACAAAATCATTTCAATAAACGTATGTAGTCATGAAAGCTATACTTCAAAAGAAAGCAAGCAAAACGTTTATGAATTCAACGCCAGGTACTGTACATATCTGTATTCAAGTGTTTGCACAGATTCAGACACGGAATTGAGTTGTATAAAAAAAACGAATATCAAGATCTAAATGATATCCTAAACAAAAGGTAGGAATAGATATATACACATTAATGCATACATATCGAAGACTAGCGCTTCATTTAGAAAGTACAGTTTATTTTGAATCATAATATTCCGATCCTCTTATTACGCTAACGACATGCTGCTTATATATACTTTCTAGATAACATAAACTCGCAAACTGGGTCCGTTCACCTCCGCCGGTTTTTCAAATCACAATCGGTTCAGTCTTGTTGAAGACTTATGAGAACTTTAGGGTTGGTTTAAGGTTGTTTTAAGGTTACTATGAGTTTTTACAGAACTAGTGCTGTGTCTAAATATGCCGACGCGACTAAACCTCATAAATTTGCGACTATGCTTCACTTTGAAGCGAGCCATAATCTGCGCATAATTAACTAAATCCAAAATTTGTCACTATATCGATAATGATATCTTGGTATCGAGTTCATTAATCTGAGCAGTACAAGGCCCCGTAAAGTACTTAAACTTGAGGCCATCTGAGATGCGTAGAGTTTGACCATTCTTCAAGGAAACTACTGAGGGAATACATTGTTTGGGTAGAAGAACAAACTATCGAACCGCATGTGGTTAGAATTCTTATTTCTGGTCATTAACGAGTTTTTTTTTACGTTTTTCACATGCACAAGATTTTCAGTAATATAATGGTAGAATTTTGTCTAAAAAACTGCTGTCGGTGTCAGTCAAAGATTTTGACCGACTGTCCGGGTAGATTGAATAACCTTCATCTTTTCTAGTAATACTGGGAACAAGATGGCCAGGAGCTGAAATTATGTCCTAACTTCAGTAGATATAAATACAGCAGGTCACAACAGCTTAAGTAAGAGACTAGTAAACACAACCACTTATGTACGAGCTTAAAAGTTTTTAAATACTCTAAAAGGTTTGCTAGAACCATGATGTTCTGGAGTTACAATGTTTCTCGAGAGCGGAGAGTATGTTCATAAGACAAACAGTAAATTTATACAGAGTTACAGAACTGGACTGGTGACTGACGGAATAGAAACAGAAAGTCAATCAAATGTATCAAAATGTTTACCCGAACAAAGAACGATTCATTTGAGCCAGTTCCATAGATTGGTGGTGTACCGGAATTTTGACGCCCACAAACATCGATCATAGTCTGCACTATTTATTTTCCAGAAGTCTATAAAGAATAAAACAGGCCGAGGAAAGTCGGATATGTCGACAAGTGGCAACAGAACCTCCGGAGAAATAAAAGGTAAAGTTATTATCTTATACATGACAAATATAAAAAACATAAATTGCCAACTGATGAAGTTAATTTGATTTCTGGGTGGCGCCCTTTAGTTTCACGTGAATCGTCCCTCCATTAGCCCCAGATTCGACTACTTACAACTCACTAATGCTTTGTATTTTCTGTCAATAATAACTAATGAAGAGGACCATGATAAATGTGATGGTGAAGATGCAAATTGTTATAGTCAACAATTTCTAGTTTTGTTTGTGAACGACTCTGACATTTCTAAAACTGTGATGATTTTCTAAAACAGTCATAAAGCTCTGCTGTAAATAAAACCACACCAGTCAAGTAGACAACCATGGCTAAATAATTCGTTCATGACAGTGATATTCTATCCCAAAAGGTCTCGAGGAAGATGCAAGGTTAGAAATGGGTGAAATGAATGCTAGGAATTTATTGACAAATACCCCTGAGGAGAACAAAGAAAAAAAATCTCCGTCGAGATTCATCTGGCTTAGAAAACGATCTCCAAATTCAACGGCCGACGAAAATTCAAAACCGACCAAGAATGCCTGCGAGCCCTCAGTATCAACATCAAGGTGAGAAACGTTATCTAGTTTTAGTTTTTAACTGGTCCTGAACGGGAATTTGATTACTGCCTCTTCCTTTCAAATGGGAGGTTTTTTCGGTTTCTACAATTTCTTTTTATCCTTTTCTTCTCAAATTCTCGTACACTTTATGGCAGAGTACAAGCCACCTCTCCCCCTCCTACCCCTCCCCCTCTCCACCTCTTCTGTTCACCGACAAAGACAAGGAAAGCGCTTCATCTTTAGTTTAACCTGTAGTTCACTATTTACAGTGAGTCGCCGAATAAGACGCAAACAGAGGAGGTGTTTACAGATGTATTTGAGAACATTCAACTACAATTAGAAGTTATTAAGGGTGTAAAGGAAAAGCCATGGACTATGGACAGGAAATTACAAATTATCAGGTGAACACAGGAGACAAATCTTCACAGCCACTAATAACTTTACAGCAAGATGAGATTCAGTCAAGCACAGCCTAATAGATATGAAATCTATCTTTCAGTCAAGATTCTCCAACAAAGGCTGCCTCATACGTGCTTGATGATCTTTTTATTTACTGAAAATGGTCATGGCCGGAATATTCTCTCGCCATGTAATAGCACTGCGCGCTTTACCTTTACCTTCCGGCATCGTTTTCATAAAAGTTATCATGATATTCTTGTCATTTTCTCGGTGTTTTCATGTGGTCATCTTTTGATTTAAGTGTTTTCGGAATACTTTCCTATTACAATGCCCCAGTGCACACCCTAGAAGAACCTAGAGGGTCCCCACTAGAGGCATGTGGTTAAATTAGGTATTCCAACGTAAACATGCCCATTTTGGCCGCGTACCAAATATAACAGGGACATGAGGTGTAAAGATCTTTGGTACAGCTAATGTAGACCAATCTGGGCTAGTTGTATTTAATTCGTTTGGCAAATCTGCACCCCAGAGCCAACAATTTCTCTCAGCCAAAAGCGATTGAAATTTTATGTCTATAAGAATTCTTATGATCAACTCGTTTGTATTATATGCTTGTTCTTCTTCCTCTAACACGTATTTGAACAGAAACGCCAAAAACTACGTCGAACAGCATTCAGGTGATCTGAACAGACTGCAGCATTTAAAGGAGTCTCGGATAAGGGTATGTAATAGACATTGTGTGGAATAGGTCAGTTATGATTGGTCAATAAGTAAAATACTTGATTCTTACCATCAGTCATCTATCCTGATCGGACTGCTGCTACGATTCCAAACCGGCTCAGCGACTCTAAATGAACCTGAAACGTTTTTTTTTTTTTTAATTTCAATTACGCAGTTATAGATTAAGTGGTAAGACACTACGGATTTTCTGTTTCAACCGCAGCCAGGTTTGCGTATCAGTGTTCACGAACCATTGCATCCTGTTCCGGCTCTCAGCCAATGACGACGAAAGAAGGGATGGGCGAATGACAATCGGTGGTTGTGGTTGTGGTTGTCAGGGGAACGGCTCTTTATCTAGTATATTTTTCTCTTTGAGTGTTCCCCCTGTTTTTTTTACCAATTTTTCCAGACTGGGACAACTGCAAACCACCTCAAAGACTTTATTTAGCGCTCCTCTCAAGCGTTTTTATCTTTTTATTCTTGTTTTGTTTTTATGTTGATTTGTTCGCATGTCTTGTCCATCATCATTCTCCATGAAGCTATTGCTGTTGTCACTGAGTAATGAACTTCTTTTCTTATTGACTTCAGCTTTTTCGACAAATTAAAAGACAGTTCCAAAACTTCATCGTGTTCTTCATTCCTTGGGAAAAGAGGATTAAAAATATTCAAGGTTTGTAGCCACAAAATTTTTATGATTAACTAAAATAACGAACTACACATTTTGGGTTTAGTGTGATCCTGTAGAGCGGTTATCAACGACAAGGACGTACTTACAGCTTCCTAATCGATGAATTGTTGGGAAATCATCAGCATTGCTTTCAGAGTGTCCCTGAACCATAGAAGAGTTGATGCATCAGTGGAAAAAAACTAATGAATAAGCATGAAGTACAATTCCTTTTTATCCTTTTTGTTACCTTGGAATGTTTCAATATGCAAAAGAAGGGTCGCAACATTTCTTACCCTCTTACAGTTATAAAGGTTCTACACATTCCATAAAGATTCCTTAGATGATGGAAAAAATGAACTTTGAAGAAATAAAAAAGGTGGAGATTGTCTCCAATACTGTGGTCTCCTATTGTTTTCCTTGAGTGAATAATCTCGAGAAAACTAGTAATCAAATAACACGCCACTAGGAAGAAGTTTTTGTTACTTTCTCAAACAATAGCGTGTTTTTCCTTCAGGACATTTTGGGGCCGGCATCGGTTCTTTTTTTCTTTTTTTACGTTCTTTGGCGTGGATCAACTTCATTTTGTTGACCTTTATAACGATCTTCGTTATAGTTCCACAGGTAAGCTTCAGAGTACATTACCTTCTTTGTAAATTTTAACTTAGAAAATTATACTACCTCTGTAAACATTCACCATCATGTTAAAAGAAATCTCCATTTCCTCTGACTGAAATTTGCAATCTTGCTACGCTTTCTTATCAGCGTTTCTAATCGTAACATTCCACCGTTAATGTTCCGATCGAGTTAATTTCTCTCACGGATATTGGTAAAATTATTAATTCTTGTAAGCCTGAATCACGAATTTGTTCCCAGATAATGAATGATAATCTTCTTTGGTTTGTTTTTCAGCTCATGAGTCCTTCGACAGCTCTGAGTATTCCTGAGAGTGAGAGACACACAGCACAGCGTCTTACAGCAGTTCTTGATGCCAAGGTAAAGTCTTAAACCAAGTCTCTTGATGCGAAGGTAAAGTCTTAACCCAAGTCTCTTGGTGCCGTTTTTACTAATCTCGGCGTTGGTTGTAGCAGTTTTATTTAGCGATCAACTGTTGAATCTTTAGTCAACCCTCTGACCGCTAAAAGTGACTAGCATCTAATTTCTCCTTACAATATCGGCCCCGAATCACACAATAAGGTCACGAGAATATAGAAAAAACCAGCAACGAAAGAAGCCCTCGATTGCTAAACAAATTCTCCCGGTCAGCACCTCAGGAAATGTATAGAAAACAGTATGGAGAATATGCCTAGTGATGTTAGCCTGTAAGGAGCTAAGACTTCAGGATTATGGATCACTGAAAGAAATGAATGAGGTGACGATTGACTATGTTAGGTCATCACCTTTCAAATTTAACATTCAATTCATTCTGGAGTGTACACATAATACGTTATAGAAAAAAAACAGGAGATGTTAATTAGACTTAAAAATCAAGCATTTTTCTGACAAAATACCATCATTACAATTTTTATCCCCACAGGGATATCTGGAATATTCCTTTTTGTTTTACGGCTATTATGGAAATGAGAACATCCAGGTGGGCGTGGTCGAGTATCCCTTGCCGGTGGCCTACTTCGCGGTTTTCATGGTCATTTATCTCTTCAGTATCATTACTGTGCTCCGAGCGTAAGTATTGTGTGCTAATTAATGTCCAGCTGATAAGCAGGCTACTCATAGTTATCAAGATACACGAGAGATGGAACTGATCGAGATCCGAGGAGGATTTTGGGCTTGGTTTTCCCAATTGTTCTCTTTCACCCGCCGTTGGTAACAGTTTCCCGACGTTTACCACTCCTGACACGATCTTCGGATCTTGTCAAGGACAAGACAAATTTGTTACAGGGGTGGAGTTATAGAAGAACTCATATCTCTAAACACAAAAATACAGCTTGCATAACCTTGATTTTTACCTTGCAGTATCACTCACGAACAGAGTCTAGTGAAGTCTTCAGGTCAAAATGATCAATATCCATTCGGCTGGCGTGTGTTTTCAGCTTGGGATTTTCTTATCACAGAGCGAGAGACTGCGGATAATAAATTAGCCTCCCTTACTACTGCTATTAAAGTAAGCCTGTTGTCTAATCTTTTGGTAAAACTGAACTCCTTTTTGACTAAGTCACGTTATAAATTGTATCTTTGTTTGAAAACATAGAAATTAGCAGCAATGTTGGATGAAATATCGCAGACAACATTTCTCGAAATATAGGCTTTACCGAATGACTGTCAAATATATCCAAGGAATTTTTTTGTACTACGGGTATATGGCGTCTTCTGTAAACTTTATAGATGCAAATGTGCAGGTTCACCAATGAGAAGTGAACTAGCTTTGACTTTCTACGGGAACGTTTCAATTCCTCACCATCTTGTTACAAAGGTAATCAATACTTTCCGATGGTGTCGACGATTCATGCCATTCGTAATCTCATTTAACTCGTATCTTTTTATTGTCTATTTTTAATTTCCCACAGGAACAAATGGTTGAGGCAGTGGAAAAAGGGAAAACGATAAATAAGTAAGTTTTATATATAACTCGTAACGCTACACGAATTTCATATGGACCAAAATGTAGCTGTTATTCATTACAGTCCGGCTGCTTTTGTTCCCTTGACCCTAATATCAATACTTCAGGTGCCATATCACTAAGCTACAAGAGATTCGTGATAGCTTTAATCAGCGGCAAAAGTTATTAGATCATTCAATAAATGAACGCATTGTCACGCACTCTATTTCAGGAAAACCCTCATCGCCCTCCGTGTATGTGCAAATGTGCTGGTTCTGGGCGTTTTAAGCGCAAGTGCGTACTTGATATACTTGGTGGTTAAGCGTTCAGATGAAAGAGACAAGGAAGGAAGACCACCCACTGTGTTAGAGCAGTATGAGGTAACTTAACACTATACTCCCTAACATCAGTCTGTATATTCTCCCTGCTGTTCTCTATACATTTCCCAGGGTGCTGACAAGGAGAATTTGTTCAACAATCAGGAGCTTCTTTAGACATCATTTCCTTTATTCTCCACACTTTAATGTTTGATTCAGGGCTGACAAATTTCGATACTATTCACTCATAGGGTCAAAAGGTTAAAACGAACATATCCGCCAAAAACGTAGCCCACTTGCATGGCACTGTTTACAACTATGGCCCAGTATTCCGAGATAGCATTGGTTTTGCTTTACTTTGCTCTATGATTGGTCCAGAAAACTCATGCCACTCTCTAGATCAATCAAATGCGAAACTAAAAGCAATCACGACTTGGTCGCCCGCGTGTTCCGCACTTTAAGCAGTTTGTTTTTTTCCTACTTTAAGTATATTCAGTTCCTCTGATTTTACAGTTATGATTAAATTAGTCTTGCAATTGCGACACTCAATTAAAAAGCACTCTATTCAACGTTAATGATATTAGCCCATTTTCACGCGTGTTTTCGTTTGTTTTTTCAGATCTCTCTCGCAATTACCGGCATGAATGCTGTGTGTCCAGTATTCTTCAAATTGATTTCCATGATGGAGCAGTATCATCCAAGAGTCGCTCTCTACTGGGAGCTAACAAGGTATTAGGAGAATGTCACGAATCCAGCGCCTCTCGATTAGAACTTCATCAGGGATGCGTTGTTAACTCTGCTCACGAAATATCACTCGTCGCATCGAACCTGTTTGTAATTCATCAGAGCTGCGAGTTAAAATAACTTTAAAAAATCTCCCTCAATAAGAGTACTAAGACATTGTCAACTCTGTTTACGAAATACCAGTCCTCGTATTTACACCTTTTTGCAATTCAGTAACTTAAGTTGCGCAGGGAGGTTCTTGGAGCAGTCCGTCAGGAAAACCAAGCAAAACTCTGGCCGCTTTATTTTGTTCTTTTCGCGAAGAATCCGTTTCATTCTCTTTTTAGAATAATGTTCATGTATCTTGGAAATATGTACGTACTGGTCATATCACTCCTTAACAAAATAAATCAGGTAAGAAATTTAAAATTTTGTTTAAGAGAACTGTTATATAAATTATGCAATAGATAAACCAGTCAAATGGTTAGTAATTCATTGGCCTTTCACTCGAAATAGGCGCACAGAGTCTAAGTAAGTTAATCAATCGGAAGACAGTCAGTTATTCAGAGTTAATCAATAGGAAGACAGTCGGTCAGTCGGAGATACTTAATCGAAAGACAGTCGGTTAGTCAGACACCCATTTTGTATCCTGTGAGTCATTCGAATAACGTTCGTTCGATCACTTTTTCTTTTATTCATTCTGTCAGCGGGTAAGCTCAGTCATTCCATAACTCATTCATTAACCCTCTCAGTCAAACAGTCAGTAAGGTGAGCTATCAATCTCGTTCTTGGGCTCTCAATTTTCCATGTCCTCCGGACCGCGAGAGAGAGTGAGGGGAGAGAGTAACCGAGTGCTAGTGTGGGAAAGTATCTCTAGCTCCAAGGGGCGAGAAGAACAGAGATCCTGAGGACTTGAAGGAGAAGATTCGATTAAGTTAAGGCTAAGAATCAGTCGAGGGAGTGTTTTGTGTCAATCTTCTATATCCCATTTTAACTGTCGTGATTTTGCTTATTTTCTTTGCAGTCAAAAGTAACTGCCTTGGACGTCTCATCAACAAGTGATGTGATAAACTCGACTGTTATTCCTGTTACCACAGTCACAAAAAACACCACAGATGGTAAGGTGGTGATCATTAACTGATATTTATTCCCCGAGAGTATAGCTTTGTTTTTCAACAATGATCGCACAATTCTATTTTTCTTCGCGACCGCATCATTCTGAGAAGCGAAACAGTTCAATCAACAGAAGGAGAAAGATATTTGTTGATCATTTGTGAAAGAACCCCTTTTTTTGGACTAAGACATCCGAAGTGATGCGTCTATTATTTTTTTTGGTTTCTTTCAGGCTCACTGTGTTGGGAAACCACAGTTGGTCAGGAGCTGTTTAAATTAACAATTATTGACCTAGTAGCCCTGGTGTTTAGTGTGTTGACCGGTGACTTGTGCGTATCCCTCACCGTCAGATTTCTTAACTGTTTTCAAGGCCGACTCTTGGATCTTGAAAAAATCGTGAGTGGATAACATTTTAATTTTTTGTTGTGTTCATATGAGAGTCATCCTTGTCAAAAGAGGTAAGGTTTTCTTGATTAACGCAAGGGAGACGTATGAATAAATTCCAAAGCTTTCCAAGTTTTATAATAAAGAAACTTGTTTTTGTTGTATCCTCCTTTGCTGCAGACAAGGGAACTCAAACAAATTGCTCCTTTCTTTCTTTCCTCAGTTAGGTTATCCCGAGTTCAAACTTGCGGAAAATGTATTGCAGCTTATTAACAGCCAGGGACTCATCTGGTAAGTTAAAGAGAGCAAGTTATTTGATTGCTTTTAATAGAGAGCGCCTTATTGCCGCACCACATGAGTTACAGTGAATTGTTGAAGAGAGTACAAAGGGTTATGGTAATGGTGATGATATCTCATAAAGAAGCCTAGCGCACTGCCTCCATCTGGCAGCATAATGGTTCGGAAAATTGTGTAAAATTCGGCTTTGTTAGACAATTTGTCATGATGGCTTTCGCTTCAACTTCAAGGCGCGATTGCCGTTATCAAACGACGTACGCGCATACGTATTTTCTTCTATTAGCTCTATACTTAGAATCATCTTCTTTTTTTTCAGGATGGGTCTCGTGTTCTCTCCAGGGCTCATTATGCTAAACATCCTGAAGCTAGTTATTATCATGTACCTTAGGAGCTGGGCAGTGATGGTCACTAATGTCCCTCCCAAGAGAATTTTCAAGGCCTCTCACCGGTTCTATTTGGTTCTCCTTCTCGTTATGTTGTTTCTGTGTATGCTGGCTGTAGGATATGCTGCTGTGGAGTAAGTAGAATTCCACAGACTGTAATATAAACTGCTTCTCTGTTTTGTCGTGATTTTTATCACATAATTTCAGTTGTTATCTAAATTGCCTGAGTTTTTCTTCCATCTCAAGCTCTCCCTTGGTAAGCTGTTTGCAAGTCTCGAGTGATTAACTAACTTTTGTTTCTTTTCTGTAGGATAGAACCTTCAAAATGGTGCGGCCCTTTCAGGTGTGAATCTGTCAGCACAATAATTGTTGTAAAATGTTTGTATGGCCACATAAAATATCGTACCATGTTGATCGGTTGAATGCCAAAACGAAGACGTACTGTTGTTCGAGAAAAGCTAAACCCTTTCTTTACCGGAAATGAGTTGATACAATCAAAGGATACAGTTTTCTCAAGGGGGAAATTTCTAGCCAAAAAGCATGGTTTTCGTTCTCAATGCAAATCTACCGTTATCTATCTATAACAATCAATGAAACTATGTTGTTGATCAGCATTCCTTTGTTTATCAGTTTTTTTATAAATTGCGAGAATTTTAAAGCTATTTCAGGGCATATTTAGTGCAATAGAGTTAATTCAAGGTTTGTTCTAATTTTTATTGACCCTTAGGGGCAAACCCACCATGTACCGGGTACTTACAGAATCCATCGACAATGGCCCCGCTCTGCTAGACACTATAGTTGACTATCTGAGTGGCCCGAGTGTCGTTATCCCAGTGTTCATATTGATGTCGTAAGTACATACGTTGTTGTTAAAAAGGAACCAATCGTTCTTTGCTACTCTCTATATAAATGTCTTCTAAATACAAATATATTCTATTCTTTTTCTGCAAGGATTGCCATCTACTACTATAGGTCGGAAGCAAATTACTTGAGGAGATCCAATCGTGAGCTTGGGTTGCAGTTACAATACGTAAGTGTTTCACATGTGTGCATGATATTTATGAACTAATCGAGCAGGAGAAGACGATAGTGTTTGAGGCCACAGGGAACCCGTGATAGAACTCTACTACATTTAAAACTATGTAAGCATTTCCCGGACAGTCGACCTCAAACATAAGCATGTGCACGATATTTCGCTGCGGAAAGAAGGTGCAGACATTAAAAAAGACGTTGTTGTCAGCTCGAACCTTGATCTGTTATTTTTATCTCCTTTAGCTTTTACGCCTTTACTCTTCGTTTTCTATTCATGAAAATTATTACGAAAATTTAGAATTGTTCCCTTATTTTCAATTGGTGAAAAAGTTGTTTTTCCTTTGGTATAGGAGAGGGCAGAGGACAGAAAGAAAACATTCAAACGTGCTTCTGGTAAGAGTTTACATGTTTTGGGGCTTCCATTAATAATCGTTTGCACCCTTATAAAGAGAAAATTAACTGCGACACCGTAAAAAGTAGTTAAACCTTGACGTTATCATTGCTGAATTTATCTCGTTATCAGATTAATTTCAACCGAGCGTCGAAAAGAATCCTGGATTGCTTTGATTTTTCTCTAATTCGGTCTGTGGTTGTTCTAGAAACTCTTTTCATGCATTAGACCAATCGTGAAAACCAATCGTGACTTGACGTTTCCCCACGCTTTTGGTAGTTTGCCTGTTTTTGCATTGAGTCCTCATTGGCTAAGGATGATGTCGACTTTTGCTCCGATTGGCTGCTGGGATTACCATAGTTTTGGTTTTTGGAAACTCAAATAAATAGTGCACTAAAGAAGTAAATAAATAAATGTGGTGGCATGTCACCTCTGTTGACTTTGCGTAATTGCTCTTTTACTTTTTCTTCATCGCCTGCGTCTCCGTGGAAATTCAGAACGCTACAGTAATAATTCTGACGACGACAAGGTCCCTTCTCTTCCAAGTGGCCAAACGCGTCATTCAAAAACAAAAAGTAGAAACAAATCTCGTCAGATTTCTGATAACGGAACAAATGATATTAAGGAGCATGAGCCTCCTCGAACAGTGGCGAAGAAATCGTCCCAGATGAAACAATTGCGGCCGCGCGAAGATATGATCCCTATTGTCACATACGATGGAGTTATGGAGGAGACTAGTACCGAAAGTGTCTTAAATAGTACCCAGGACCACCGGCAGGTAAAAGTGATAATTCACCGGACGAGTAGTTCCAGTTCATCAACTGTCTCAAGTGTTAGATCCGTTGATCAGCGGATCACAATTCCAAAGAAGAAACACTTGCGGTCACGTGATCACGTTCATGAGAGTCAAAGATGTCAGAATAACATCGAAAACACCGAAAGTGAAATACAAAATACTGAGAAGAATAGTAGTGGCTCTTCTATTCAGGAAAGCTCACATTGTGAAGAATCAATAGCGCTAAAAGTTACAGATGAGGTGAAGAACAATAATGAGGGCTGCAAAACTGGCCAACAGACTATTTTAGAAGGTGGTTCATTGGCAGCCATGTTTGATTCTTAGATACAAATTTTGTAAATACATATCATACTTAAAATTGTAGTCAGTTCAAACCAGCTTGTTTTTTGTGTTTCGCTTCATCCACACAAGTAAACTATCCAGTAAACAGAGAAGAATTATATTTATTGATTGCGCAGAGGACGTCAGGACCTCGATTTCCATTCCGGTTTCAACGTCTGAAAAATCGAATTAAATCAATACACATGCTGGGTAATGATAATACTCTGATATTAGTGTTATCCATAACGTTCGAGTAAGTTACTTAACCTGCTGTAAATAAATGCGAATAAAATTTTTCATGAATGAAAACCACACTTTTTGTTATGTCTAATATATAAAAAACCTTTCTAAGTTTTTAATCGAATGAAATGAACAAGCTCTATCTGAAATCATATAAAGCTTTATTTATGTCGCAGCGATAAACTCTCAAGAAAACAACACATTAAAAGGATGACTCTGTGAAGCTTCCATATTGAAAATAAACTACCGCCATGCCTTGATTCCATAATTATTTTCTGACACTAAATACACGGGTATAAACTTTGATAAAAGAGACTTGTTGAAAAACGATGACCTATACCCAATCAAAGATTCTGGATACTAAATTTGATTAATAAAGAGTCACTCCTGTCAAAGAAAAGCTGAATCACTTGAATTACAAAGGGTAATAGTACATAGTACTTTAAGGAAGTAAATAGTATATAGTACTATTTATAGTATACTATACGCCGCATATAATTAAAAGAAACATAACACAAAGCAAAAGAGAGTGTAACCACACCCTGCGTCCTCCAAAATTTTGGATCCAAAAATCTTAAAGTATTTTATAAAAGATGAAAAAGGCACAAAGAGGGTACAACAACACACAGGTAAAATTTCGTCATATTTCAGAATTTCCACGCTCCTTCATAACGTATTTATCCTCGATTGGCCCATGACCTGTTTCATTCGCTTTTCCTTTGTTGCAAGTTTTGAACTCGTTCAAGAAATCATACTTCAGGGGTATAATGTCCCCTTCAAACAAGTATTTTGTTAAAGAAGACACCACAATGAGAATGACAAAAGTAACGATCATAGCGAACGTACGGAATGGAAACAACTGACCCTTAACCTCATCATAAAACGGGTATTTAATGAAGGCGGGGAAACCAATTTTGTCTTCCCCTCCCCCCACGCGTAACAGGAGCCCTACTATGTAACCCACAACGGAGCCGTAAGTGTTGACGTCTTTCCAAAAGAAAGATAAACACCACGGAGGAAACAGGACCACATAGATCAGGTCACTGCACAGATGAAACAAGGCGTAGATGGATTCAACTGACAGAGCCATTCCAGTAGCAGCTGCGCCAACTATTACGACAGCAACTCGCATGGCCCACACGACTTCCTTCTCAGACGCCTAAGAGAGTTGAAAGGACTCAAAATTAAAATCTAATTGGGACAGGTTCTATTTCACTCTTTGACTACAAAAATTGATAGAGAGTGCAAACACCAAAATGATGGAAGGTATCTGACCTTTTTTCTGAAGATGGGCCTGTATATGTTATGAGCCAGGATGGTGCTAACAGATAGGAAACTGGAATCGGTAGAAGACATGACTGCAGCAGATACAGCACCCAGACCAATGAATGAGACAACAGGTGGTGTGAGGTACTGAAGCACCATGGGAAGGATCAATGTTTTATCAAGCTCTACAGAGGCTGTTTGGTTGGTGGTAACACCCTCAAATGGTCTATATGACGTTTGGGTCCAATCTGGATGAAAACAATAAAGCCAATTTAATGTGCAGAAAACTAAGATTGTATTTTTAAAGCATTTATGGAGGATGCCCAGTTGGCTTGCATCTGTTCAAGAGTTTCCAGTTGTACATAAATTTTTCTTAGGTTTCAAAATTGAAAATTAAAAACAAAACGTTTTCAACACGAAGTCATTGTCATAATTTTTACCCGAAGATGATCTAAAGTGGAAAACGTTTGGTTTCTGCTTTTATATATATTTTTTAGCCTTGTAAATAACTCACTTTCCAATCTAGTTTTGGGGAAATAGCTTAAATTGGTCGACTTGTCGTTGTTCAACAATGCACCTGTGTCGAAACGTTGATTTGAAGCGTATTTTTTATTCAGACTCTGACAAATATGCCATAATAACAACAGGAACCTAGATAAAAAAAAGCTTTTGTAGAGACGCAGCAGCCTGGCAGTGAGGGGATTGGACCTCAGATTCAAAGGTGCGGGTTTAACTCTCTTCTAGGATCATTTACGTTGTTTTCTCAATCTGCAAACTTTACGCTCACAATACCTCTCATACAAGGGATCACCTAGCTTTGACCAGGTTCCCTAATCAGGAAGGAAGACATGCGTTTTAGCTGCTCTATGCTACGGTAACAACGTTAGGCTCTTGTAGTTATGGGGCAGTTGACCTATGTTTGGCGTAAGTTCTTATCAATGCATTTAAGAGAAGAGGAAGGGGGAAGAAACAGCGGTAGGTGGGGATAAGTGAGCTCGAGGAAAATCAGAGGGCTCATCCTAGCTGAGCTTATCCTGGTCTCCTCAGCATGAACCGACTTAGAGAATTTTACTCCGCCCTGGTAGGGTCACCCCCCCCC